TGATCTCTCTGGCGCCCCTCCTCCTTCTTGCTCTCATCACTCTTTACACTATATTAAAGTGGCAGTTGAAACATGCATAGTATACATTGGATAACTCTATAAAGAGCTATAGAATAAAAGATGGGAGGACTTGATCCATGTTCATATTCTTTCACCATTCATCCTGAATGCAAAAGTTTGACATGGGTCATTCGCAAAAGGAAGTGCTCAGTTTACTTTCCACTTTAGTCAATTTCCTTTGGTTCATTGCAGGTTATTGCACTACTGTGTGCAAAACACTTCGTTTAGAAATTAAATTTGAGGGTTCTGTAACTTTATACTAGTGTTCCATTTTCCAATGTGTATAGCTTATCAACCATATTCATCATGTTTTGATCGTGGGTAATACAAAGTATGGTGTACTTGTGCTTCAAACTCATTATTAGATCCATAATCAATTTAGCGTTAGCTGGATCTAGATTTGATGTGCATTCGTCAAAAATCAACACCTTTGGTCGTCTAATCAATGCTCGAACGATTGACAATCGCTGCAATTGGCCGCCTGATAACAAAGTGTTGTTACCCTCACCTACCCTAGTGTTTAATCCTTCCAGCAAAGACATGACAAAATCATGCATTCCACATAGTCGAAGGCACTGCTTCAATTCTTCAGTATTGACTTGTCGTGTTGGACTGATTCCATAGGTGAGGTTTTCCAATATCGATCCTTCAAAGAATTTGGGGAGTTGGGGCACAATGCTAACAGTTTCTCTCAACCAATCGATATTTACGATTGATATGTCCTGCTTGTAAATGCTGATTGAGTCCGAGTTTGAGTCAACAAGACGTAGCAAAAGTGAAGAGATTGTTGATTTGCCTGAACCCGATTGCCCCACTAAACCAACCAATTGGTGTTTGAATATCTTGAATGAAACGTTGCGTAGAACGTACTTGTCGTGATACTTGAAGCTGGTGTTGTGGAGACTGATTACTTCGTTATCAGTCCTCGGAATTTCATCGCCATCATTCTCGATTTTGGAAAATGGTGTCAGCTCTAGCAACTTGACAATATATGTACCCGCACGTTGACCCCTTGTCACCTCGGGTAAAGAATGTATCAAACTTGCTGCATTAGCCAATGTAAATGTGAGTAATGTAACCACTTGTAGGAACTGTCCGTGGGTATATTCAAACTGACCGGTCAACTGCATTCCATAGTATAGTATTACACCAGTTGCCACTGCAGAAATCAAATCATTCAATGCATACCCTATACCAGTTTGGATCGCTCTGAAATTACCGTCTTTGTTGACCACGTTCAAATTTTGACTAAATTTGTCGGCAAAGTATCGATTCATGGCAAATAATTTGATTGTTTTGATGGAGCTAACCGTTTGATGAACATGTGTTTCGAGAATCACTACACTTGACTTGTATCTGTTTTCTGCAGACTGCAAAATGATTCCATACGCTGCTGTGATAACTAATATCAACGGGACAAATGAAAGCCCAACAAGGGCCAACTTCCAACCAGCTATAATCGACCAAATAATACCAACAAGTACCATGGCAACTAAATTTACAATAGCAGACAAGAATGTACTCACCAAGTTCCGTAAGTCACGTGTATCATTCATCAACAAGGTCGTCACTTCAGCTGTCTTCATTTCCTTGAAAAAAGACAAATCCTGTCCATTCAACTTTTCAAAAGCTAGTTTCCTCAACATCACAATCCATCGTTCACTGGCATAAGATAACAAAAACTTTGCACCATACGCGGCAATTCCAATGAATGATGCAACACCAATCGAAACGCACGACCACTTAATTACTTGTTTGGTGACGTTTCCACCAATGGAAGCTTCAACGGAGGTAGAGAGTAACTTTGCAAAACAATATGAAAATACCGGCGAAGCTCCACCTTCCAAAACGGAAATTAGTATACCAATGATGATGACGATTTTGGCATCAATTGTATTGCTGCAATACTTTAAGATTGCAAAAGTGCCCATGAGAGACTCTTTATTCTGCGGCTTGTCATCATTGTCCAGCTCCACGGTGGTGGTTTCCGCAATGGTGTAGTCATGCTTTTCTGTTTCGCTCTTTGAAAAAGTAGCATTTTCTTTCCTTTGGAACTCAGTAAAGCCTCGAAAATCAGCTTGCCTGACAACCATCCCATGTTCCATCATTATGACATTATCATTTACTTCGATATGACTGTAATCGTGCGTTATCGAGATTGTAGTTCTGTCTTTTCTCCAACTTCTCACTCTGGCTAACAAAGTTTCCTTTGTTCGATAATCTAATGCGCTAAACGCTTCGTCAAGAATCAATACTGAAGGATTCTTCAACTTTGCTCTTGCTATCGCCAATCTCTGCTGCTGACCTCCAGATAATGACAAGGGGGTAATTTTTGTGTCCAAATCCAAATCCAAATCCAACAATGCAAATCTTGCTGCTTCGTCAATCAAACTAGTTGGAACTTTTTCAATAGAGTAATAGTCATCAATCACCGAAAGGGCAATATTTTCTCGTACTGTCCCGTTGAATATGACGGGAGTTTGCTGAAGTAGGACAAGATTTTGTGAAATCCAACTCGAATCAAGCAAGTCAATGCCGACACCGTCAATTTTGATGATTCCACTATTCCTGTTATACAATCTCATCAAAAGAAGAGGTATTGTTGATTTTCCAGCACCAGATTGGCCAACAAGAAAATTCATCTTTCCCGTTTCAATCGTAAACGAGACGTTTTTCAAAACCAATTCTTCTCTTGCAGGGTAGCTGAAACATACATTTTCGAACATGATTTCTCCACTGCATGCTAACGGGAATCTGCTTGTTTTATATTCCACGTCGTTTCCACTTAATGTCAGCAAATAGGATGCAATCCTACTAGCAGCAGCATGCGCGGTATTGATGATTGCCATCAACTGGCTGATTTTGGAAATAGACTGTCCCAACATCAAACACGAGCTAAAACAGGTGAACAATTGATCAACAGTGATATCTCCTCGCATGAGTAAATAATTACCAAACCAAAACCCTTGCACAAACATCATCAATGTGAGGAACTTTAATGTTCCTGAATTTGCTGCAATTGCATTGGCAGCCCTGTAGTACGCTTTTGCTGAAGCAGTGGTAAACCCGTTAAACTTTACCATTTCAACGTACTTCCCATTAAAGACACGAACAGTCAACGGTGAGGTGAGACACCAGTCCATTATCTTACTCGCATTTGAGCTGTAATCATTCTCATGTTCCTGTGCACGATAAGTTACACTCCCGAAATACCAAGCACAAACCGCCATGACGGGAGCCGAGGCCATAATTATCAATGTGATAGCCCAGGATTGATAAAACGACATGATGATCAAACCTATAATCAAAGCAACTGTCTGTACTGTTTCAGCCATAATTTCAGCATTTCCTGAACGAAGTTCTTCAATGCATCTATTGACTTGAGTTAACTCACCCATTATATTAGAATTTTGATCGTACCATTTTGCATCCTGTTTCAACAAGTTTTCATAAGTGGCCGACCTTGCACGCAGCTGTTGTACTTCTCCAAACTTCAACCACAAGGACATTCCTAGCCAAACAAACACCATCTTCCCCAAACCCACACCCATTAATATTCCACATAATTTCAAGCAGTGTTGGATAAAAGTTTCATACGAGGCATACTTTCCGAGGTAGTAGTTAGACAAGGCGCCAATAATATCACCATAAATGAGAGTCGACACTGGTGTACTAACAGCTGATAGTGCCATGAATGTGGTTGCAGTGACTAGTATCGGCCAGTCGTATTTCAACTGTAGAAACATAAAAACATTTCCCTTTTTGGTGATTGGGACGTCAATCTCAGCAAGTTCGGATTTCTCAAGCATAGTTACGAGACACACACACGCTCTCTCTCTCTCTCTCTCTGTGTGTTACTAGCTACGTTATTTGTAGGGCTAGATGGCCAACTCGTTTGGATTTCAGATTTGCAACATCTTTGTTTTTATATGTGTTGTGGAAGGGGAACCATTGCTTTTGATCCCAAGTTTCATATTTCCCAATAAGACAACTTTGTCCCCTTTAAAGAGACTTGCACATATGCTGTCTCTAGCTCATTCCCTGTTTCCATTGACAAAAATTTAGGTTGTATAATAATTTGTTTCGTAGCTTTCTTGGTGATTTGAAATGAAAATGGTGGTTTGAAATTGCGCAGTAGAAAAAATTACTCGATTGGGATGTCACAATCAAAAGATATGTAAACCATACATTACACACATACACATACATACATACACACACATACACATACATACACACACATACACATACACATACACACAAAACCTCTCCCCTTTGCCATGATGTGTATCAGATTGACAAATAGCGGTATCAAATGCCAATGTTTGGCAATTGAATTAACAAATTCCTGTCACAAATTAAAAATTCACGTAACTTATCAGTCTCAAGTAACTTCCTATTCTTCTGTTTTTCTGATTGGTCCTTATGCTTCTAGTCGTTTGTGCTAGATTCCCCTCTATCTCTCTCTATCTCTCTCTCTCTATCCCCCCACACACATAGTATGACGAAAAAAAAAAAAAAAATTCTTCTTCAAAAATAACTACTCAGTGCTTATCATTACAGGAGATATTGATTGCAATTACCGTAGCTGCTGTTACAGCTACTTACTTACATTGAAGGACATTTCCATAGAATATAAAAAATGAGATTGCTTACTTTACCGACCAAGCGTCAACTTCATTCCTTTGGAGTTGGTACTCGTGTTGACAATATGCTACGGACTTCAAGTGCCGCATTTTCTTCAAACTCCAATTCCTCCACCTCCAATTCCTCCACCTCCAATTCCTCCACCTCCCACGACTACAACAACAAGCACATTGGCCGCCGCTTTAAATCGACTTTTGTCCCTGCTGAGCCATTGGGTATTGATGATTTGAATGAACAAACGGTCAAGGCCCAATACGCAGTAAGAGGCAAAATCCCCATCATTGCTGATGGATTGAGCGATTTGATCAAAATGTCTCCCACTAGTCATGGTTTACCATTCAATAAAATTGTACACGCAAACATTGGAAATCCTCAGCAGTTAGATCAAAAGCCTTTGACATGGTATAGACAAGTCTTATCAATCTTGCAGTATCCTCAGTTGTTGAACGAGGACCTGGGGGCAAAATTTCCTTCCGACGTTAAAAAGAGGGCTCAAGAGATTTTGCACAATGTTGGGTCTGTTGGAGCTTACTCCCTGTCTCAGGGTGCTGCTTATTTTAGACAATCAGTGGCTGAGTTTATCACCAACAGAGATGGCGGAAAATTCCCTGCCAATGCCAATGATATCTTTTTAACTTCAGGAGCCTCGGCTGCTGTATCTTATTTGTTACAATTACTATCTCAAGATGCAAATTCGGGATTTTTAATTCCTATTCCACAATATCCGTTGTACACAGCCACCATTGCTTTGAATGACGCCAAGCCCATTGGCTATTATTTGGATGAATCAAAGGGATGGGCCACTAATCCCAAGGAAATTCGTCAATTGATCAAAGAAAGCTCCGACAAGGACATCAAGATTAAAGCGTTAGTTGTGATAAACCCGGGCAATCCCACAGGGGCAATTTTGTCAAGGGACGATATTGCTGAACTCATTTCGATTGCTGCTGAACATGGAATTGTCTTGATTGCAGATGAGGTTTATCAAGAAAACGTCTTTAGTGGAAAATTTTACTCCTTTAAACGTATCTTGTCAGAATTGAAGGAAAAGGACCATGATCAGTACAAGAATGTGCAATTGGCATCGTTGCACTCAACATCAAAGGGTGTCAGTGGAGAGTGTGGGCAACGTGGGGGGGTACATGGAGCTTGTTGGTTTCCAACCAGAAGTAAAGGATATCATTTTCAAGTTGGCATCCATCAATTTATGTTCAGTTGTATCAGGTCAAGCTGTTGTTGAGTTGATGGTAAACCCGCCCAAGAAGGGAGATGAATCATACGATCTCTACGTTAAAGAAACTTCTACTATTTTCGAAAATTTGAAAAAGAGAGCAGAAGCTCTTTATGATGCTTTCTGCGATATGGAAGATGTATCGGTTGATAAACCTCAAGGAGCAATGTATATATTCCCAAGCCTCAGTTTTGATCCCCAAGCTTATCACAAGTTATTTTCAAGAGCCAAGAATTCAAATCTTCAAGTTGATGATTTGTATTGCATTGAACTTTTGGAGCATACTGGTATCTGTTGTGTGCCTGGAAATGGATTTGGACAAAAACCAGGTTCCTATCATTTGAGAACCACTTTTTTGCCTCCAGGCGAGGAATGGATCCAAAGATGGGCCAATTTCCATAAAGATTTTGTTAAAAAGTACAAGGATTCGGCTTGAAACCAGTAGTACGAAATATTTACGATGTAATAGTCATGTAAAGTCATATATTTATTCTGCAAATAACAATAATGCATTCTCTAATTGCGTTTATCTATACAAGTTTCCCAATGTAATTGACTTGATCACAGTATAGTCATCCATTCCGTGAAGTGAACCTTCTCGACCAAATCCTGATTCTTTGATTCCGCCAAATGGCAAACTAGCATCCGTAAACAAGCCAGTATTGACACTGACCATACCGACATCCAAAAACTCCGACATGTACCAAGCAGTGTTTAACGATTCGCTAAATACATACGATGCCAAACCATACGGAGTATCATTACACAACTGCACCACTTCTTCACGGGTGTCGAATTTTGCAATTGCTGCCAAGGGACCAAAAGTCTCTTCATGGAAAACTTGAGCATTATTGGGTGTATTGTAGACAACTGAAGGTGCATAAAAGTGTTTGCCCAATTCCGGTAACCTACCACCTTTAACCAAAACATCAGCACCTTTTGCAATTGCATCATTAAAATGTTCCTCAACTTTGGCCACTGCTTTGGAATTAATCAAACAACCATGGGTTATACCAGGATCCATTCCATTGCCGACCTTAAATTCAGTTGTCTTTTTGGCAAACTCCTTACAAAACTTGTCATAGATCCCACTTTGGACATAGATCCTATTGGCACAAACACACGTTTGACCCAAAGATCTAAATTTGGATGCAATCGATTGGCTTACAGCAAGCTCCAAATCCGCATCATCAAAAACAATTATTGGTGCATTACCACCCAATTCCATGGACAATTTCTTCAAAGTCAGTGCACTTTGTTTCATGAGCAATTTCCCAACTGGCGTTGAACCTGTAAAGCTAACCTTCTTGATTTTGGGACTTTCGCAAATCTTCAGTCCAATCATGGGTGTGGACTCTACCGATCCCAAAACTACGTTGAAAACACCTGGCGGAAACCCTGCTTCTCTTGATAGGTAAGCAAGTGCTAAGGAGCTCAATGGTGTTTGAGCGTCAGGTTTCAATATGCATGTACACCCAACTGCCCAAGCCGGTGCTGCCTTCCTTGAGCCCATAGCGGTGGGGAAATTGAATGGACACAAGAGCCCAACGGGTCCAACAGGTTGTCTCACTGTGATTACTCTATTATTTGGATTTGATGTCTGAATCGTCTCCCCGTAATTTCTTTTGGCTTCCTCACCAAACCATTCAAAATAAGAAGCAGCATACTTAATTTCTCCTTTGGCATCAGCAAGACTTTTCCCGCACTCCAATGTAATCAAGATTGCCAAATCATCCAAGTTTTCAATCATTAAATCATACAACTTGCGCAACATTTTCGCTCTATCATAAGGGTTGGTTTGTTTGAAAGTCTGGAAAGCCCGGTGACATGACTCAATGGCTTGGTCGATCTCCCCCTCTGTTTGTACTGGCAATTCGGCCAATACTTCTTCAGTGGCTGGGTTTATCACTTTGAAAGTCTGATTCGAGTTAGTTGATTCAACAAACTCATTGTCGATAAATGGTTTCGTTTGAAACAAGCTTTTATTGGCCAATTGAGGCGGAGGCTGGTATGTGGTGGTTGGCATTGTTAGCTAGAGGTAATCACAGTATATTGGCCCTTCTTCTGCCAACATCGTCTCACACGAGAGAATTTATAGAGTGAATTATTTTTTACTTTTTTTTTTTGAAAAGATTTCGTATGTGTCACAAACGACTCGATTTAAGCGCGAAGACGACCGTCCATATTGGGTAAATTGCCGCTAAACCAATGACTTGGCGGCATGGACTTGACGATTATAGGAGACAAATACCAACTCTGAACAGCCATTCCTCATACGTGTTGCTGTTGTAGGCGTTGTTGTAGGCACTATTGGCTGTTCAAGAATTGAGAAGCCTAACTAATTTGAGACATCATGATGTAAGGTGAAGGCTCCTGAGGTTGATGCTTCCGTTATGACGAAAAAGTGGGCTACTCAAATCTGGCATGGTACTGATTTTACTTAGTGTGGGGAATTTGTTGGCATGTCAAAAGTGTGTAATGATAAAGGCACCTCAACTGTATTGAAGTGGGATTGATGAGGGTGTTCATTTCTTGGATGCTGAAGATTAACAGACAAGTTTCAGCCAGGTTGTGATAAACCATCCGAAATCAAGTGTATTTCAATAGCATGAGTTAAGTTCAGAGTGAATGTGAATGTGAATATTCACTTTGTCTGACTTGCCTTGTTTGCTTGTTGCTTGGTTTTACTAATAAAGTTCGGAGTTAGTCTCGGTCGAGCGATGAAAGAAAAAAAAAAATAAAATGCCTAAAGCCTAAATCCGTACCGACCTTTCCCCCGTATTGAGCCATTTTCTCCCTCGAATATATGTTTCCAGTCCTGTAAACAAGATTTTGAGTCAGGTGGTTTTTAAAAAGTACCTTCTCTGGAAGATGTGTTGTGTCAAATGGAATTTCATTGTGTAGTACAAGTTGTTTCTCCAGCCTAACCCTCCATTTGTACTTGTACTCGCAAGTAAAGCAATTGTAAGAAATGTTCATTCTAGCATATGTTCCACTTTAGCATCTTCTGCATAAACCCCGATAGTGGTAACTTTCCCAATGTATGTACCGTTAGATAGTGAAGATTGTTATTTCTTTTTTTTTGTTTTTTTTGTTTTTTTGTTTTTTTGTTTTTTTGTTTTTTCGGTGGGTTATTCGGTGTGAAAATTTGCAACCGAGTCCGTCCGTAACTTTTGTATAAAAACGTTTATTAATTATTAATGTCGCGTACAGGCACAACACTGCAGATCATAAATCATTACTCAGTAATCACAACTTTTCAATTTTAGATGTCATTTGTGACTGTTTGAGTTTTGTAGGTGTAAACTATGATGAAAAATGTAAGCACAAAGCATATACTGATACGAATGTATATATATATATATATAGAATAAAGTATTTCTTCTTTTATACCCTCCTGGATCATTCGGGAGTCGCATATAAAGGAAAGTCGATAAAAAAGACAAGAATATGATTGTTCTCAAGCAAACCAGGTCAGCACTCAACAAGGTCCTTCCAAACGCTATAAACCCATTACTGGGCCCTGACAAATCCAGTCCCAGTATAGTGTCACGAAGCCGAGCACTTCTGCTGTCTCTTCACAAGGATGAACTACACCGCAATGGTAGTATACGACGCAGTAATAGCAAATCCAAAGTGAAAAGTCAAAGCACCCATCATCACCGTATCCGTCCTGTTTATCAAGTGGAAACGGTCCTCGACGGAAACTCCAAATCCAATGAGCAAGAAGAGGAGAAGATAGCGGTGCAACCTAGAAGTAATAACACGGGACGCGAGAAATTGAACTCACTCCAAAGAGTATTGATTTGCATTATACTATCACTACTTGTGATTATGTACTTGATTACATGAGCTCCAATTTGCAGTCGACAATCGAGCTGAATGCAGGAGTCTCCTACTTTGTTGTGAATAAAATTAGTGTCAGAATTTTCTGGATGCACCAAGGCTCATAAACATGTTTGAGGTTAAGTCAACCACATCACAGCTCATTGATGAGTCCATACTAAACTTTCCGGTAGATAGACAATCTCTGAAGGTCTCCAAACAGCATTAGCGTGGTTCTCTCAACTTTATGAATTAACCACTAAGTTGGCTAAAGGGTCTGACTGTTCTTGTTCAAATTTCCACAAAGCTCAGAATTCCTGTATTCTGAGTATTTTTATTCATAAGTATGTGCATTTCAATATACCACTAATTTGATGCTCCTTCTTCTTTTGACTATACATCACTAATTAACGAGATTGAGGTTTTTGTGATCTCATAAATGAAAATGTTTTCACGGATTCATCCTTGCTGTACTGTTCCCCCCCACTGTATCCACAGTCAAGCATCATTCATAACTTCAAGTATATCAGAGGAGAGCAATTGGTCATTTGGTGACACACAAAGTACCCTTCAAATAAGGAAACTAAACCCTTTTCTAATCACATTGTTATCTATAACATCCCTTTCAGGACTGTAAAAACTCCATATGTCACGATATCTCTCTGTGACTGTCTCCATTTTGCATCCATTGAATCAATTTTGAAAATTATAGTCTACAACAATGTATCACGTGCTTTTGTTCAGGTGATTGTAGCTTTGAAAATGCCAAACATTGAACAGTTGTCTGCAAATTACAAGTTACATCTTATGCGTTTCTCAAAACCTTTCTCAAGACCTTTCTCAAGACCTTTCTCAAGACCTTTCTTTAACAGTGGTTTTATCCGTTAGTAAGTACCCTTGATCCAAATTTCCTCTGTCTGGGTTCTAAAGGCGTAGCACAATTTAGAGTAGTTCACAACTTGAGGACTACAACAATCAATTCAAAGAACCTGCCATTGTGTCTTCATCCCTCCCTCCCCCTCCTTTTTTTTATGTTTTCAACCACACACGGGATGTGCTCGTTCCTCGCTACCTCACATGTTTCTTCAAAGTCAAAGTTGGTGTACCTGTGTTTTGGCAGCTATTATATGTAAGTCACTCCCACGCGTATTTTGTCCTGCATATGCTACACATTCGAAAACAAAGAGAGTTAAATAAAAAACCAACAGAGGAAAAAAAAAAAAAAAAAAAGAAACTTTGTAAAGTTTGAACCTCCTTTTACTCAACACAAGCTAACTATCAATACAACTAATCCATCTACAGCTACTAGAGCACTTTCATTTACTGTGGAAGTTACAAGTTGAACAAGTCACCCTCGTTTATTGGTCTCATCACGACTCAGCTATCATTTGTTGATATTTGAATAAATTTTTTTTCTCGCTCTTTGTCTTCACAACACAGCCTTGTTGCACAACCATAATATGAAGTATCACTTGACTTTAGTCACCTTGTTGTCTGCACTTTTTGTCCCAGTGTTAGCAGACGTGGGTGTCACATCGCCTGAGGAGGGAGACAAATTTTCCGGTTCGTCTGGAGAAGCTAGTATCAAGGTAAGCTGGAAGGACAATTCAGACTCTGATTCCGATTTTGCACTCAGCAATGTCCAGTCATACACGCTTTCGTTGTGTACAAACGGGAGCCCTATCCAGTGCTTAGACCCAGCTATCAAGAGTCAAAAGTTAACTTCAAACACAGCCACTGTCACAGTCAAGCAAAGCGACGCACCAAGTGGTTACTACTTTATACAAATCTACACAGTATTCAAGAGTGGATCAACAACCACCATTTACACTCCTAGGTTTCAACTAACTGATATGGAAGGGACCACTGGAACCCTTGTTGTCACAGTAACTGGAGACCAACCCGGAGGTCAAACGTCGGCCGCACTGTCGGCAGGTGGTGACACATCCGCAAGTTTTACAGTCCCATACACATTACAAACAGGCAAAACAAGATATGCCCCAATGCAAATGCAACCTGGCTCTACGGTGACCGCCACAACTTGGACGCCAAAGTACCCCACCAGTGCCGTCACATACTACTCAACCAAGCACAGCAAGCCAGTGGTGTACTCTACAATCACTCCTGGTTGGAGTTATACTGCTAGCTCAGAAGTCAATTGGGCAACTGTGGCTCCTTATCCAACTAATTGGTACGCTGCAAGTGAGAGAAAGTTGAGCAAAGCTAGTATCACAGCCACTAAGAAGAAGAGGAGATGGTTGGAGTAAGCTCAGGAGATAGAAGCATTCTGGATAGAGTTTGGGACATCTTGTGAACCATTGGATTGGTGGAAGATTGTTTTGTCGAGGACAGGTGTAGTTGAGTTGCACAAGATTGTTTATTTCAAAGTATCGAATTTAACTCAAACTTATTTCTGTAGTCCTTTCCAGCGTTCCTCTCGAAGCGTCTTCAAGGAATCTCCAAAGAAGGCTTTCTTTACGTTGATATCGTTGTTTCTTTTTCATTGCTACTTGTCAACTCCAAGTGGCATTTTTGCACTATGCCCGCGACGACAAAGTGCAAGATGCTACAAGATGAAAGAGTGGTAATGGGGATTCAGCGTTATTTTCACTCAGAGAAAAAGCTGGCAATGGGAGCTGCTTCAAAGACTCTTGAGATACACCTTTGCACGAGAGAGGGATAATGTACGACATTCACAGCAGAGTACATGCAATAGCTCATTATCTCTACTTTTGCTCTCAAAATTGACTGTCTCATTTCCTTCAATAACAAACTCAAATCTAGATCTATCTGGATACAGAAGTGCACTCAAAATGAAGCATTCTGGTTGAGTTCGTATAAAGAAAAGTTCCAAAAACCTGTAGAAAACACCACCATAAAGGGTCAAGTGTTACTTCCCCGAAGTTAATATGGCTACAGTCGATTGGGAAATAAGAACCACTGCTCTAAGTTGTGGAAACACCTCGCAATTGGCGACTATTTGGTCTGTAAACCACCAATTTCAGTAGTTCCCATTTTCTCACTCTGGCAACGCTGTCAAGCCACGTTATATGAACAGGGATGTGAAACACTAACAGTAGTCAGAATAGCATTTAGTGTGATCTTAGCAATGCTTCTTTTATTTCGTTCACTAATGTAATTTAGGAGAATGATCAATCCAGGAATTGTTTTATGATTTGTATAGTTCAGGTACTCGTTTTTCAACTGCTTTTGAAATAAAGCACTGTCCCAACTGTGTACCTTTGCAGTGGTGATAGTTCTGAAGTTTTCCATTTCCATGAATCGGCAACAGTACCAGCTTTCCTGCTGCACAAAGTTCGTAGATTTGACTTTGGTGAGTAAACCAAGAATTTTCCAACCACGTAAAGTGCCTGCGTGGCGAAATGGTTATCGCTTTTGACTTCTAATCAAAGGATTCCGGGTTCGAATCCCGGCGTGGGTTTTACTCTTTGCTCTGCGGCTTTAGCTCACCTGGGAGAGCGTCAGACTGAAGATCTGGAGGTACTGTGTTCGAGCCACAGAAGCCGCATTTTCTTTTTTGTTTTGTTTTGGAGCCTTCCCTGATTGCTTTGGACTTTGTAGAATGGTTCATATGCCACCAATTGTGTCTTGTGGTCTATGTTTTTCTTCTCTCTCTTTTTTTTTTTTTTTGCCAGACAACATACAGAGAGTGACAACCTCATTTGCATTTCTACTTTAGCCTAGAAAGCTACCACCACAATGATCTTCTTCTAAAAAATTACATTACTACTTAAGTTCCACCTGCTTACTTGCAGATACCAACCCCCTGTCCTTGTTTGCGATGGACACATACCGCGGACTATATTGAAGCAACTCCTCATATGCTGGAATGGCAGGTTGGATACCACTTTCGTCAGATATGGGTTGCAAGTCGGCCCAAAAGCATTCAACGTTTATGTCCAACACGTTCGAATTGTCATTGATGCCTGGCAACCAGTAGATACCAATATCAAATTGACTGTTCCAATCTAGCTTGTTGAGGAAAAACTTTTTAATACCATCCACATCCTTGTATATGTAGTCCACGTTATGTGAAAATCCATCTGGGATTTGCTTGAAAGGAGGGAAACGATGGGTGTTGTTTTTGACCAACACTGCCTTTACCTCGTCGCCTGGAAATGCAATGTTACACAATCTGCTCTTGGGAGCTTTAATGACCACCTCGTTGAAATTAATGCCAAACGACCCAGCGTTGCTGGAGTTTTTCACCTCCACTTCAAGATACTCTTTGGATGTATTGGAGGGGATAATATGAGGAAGCAACTCGGTCTTATATGAGTAAAGTTTGATGCCGTCGTCTTGACCCAGAGTGATAATCTCAGTCTGCGACTCTTCCACTGATGGAATCCTCGCCAAAAATTGGGGGATTTCGTTGCCTCGACCATATATATGCACCGTACTTCCAGTTTCATTGACGGTTTGTAGAAATCGTACTTTCAAAGGATTCTGTTCATTGAATGGGTCAGTATTCAACACCAAAAGAGAGCCAACTAAAGCAACTGCAAACAATCCCAAAACCAATAATCTATTCAAGTAACGGACAAAGGGAATGAGCGGCAAAACCAACGCGATGGAAAATACTTCAATCACAAAATAGACAAACTTTTGTGACGCTGCTGATTCCTGTACTGTTTTATTGATACCGTGAAGAATGAGCCAGCCGGAGTTGTAGATAACAAAGAAGGATATTGGAACAGTTAATAAGTACTGTAAGGACCAGTCGTAGCTATCTTCGCTTTCTTGCATAACAAAGTCGTCGCCTTGTACATCATCTACTTCGTCATCATCCAGTGTGTAGTGCTCTATGCTAGCTCCATCTAAGAGAGGCTGTTCATCAAACAGTTTTTCTGTGCGAGTCCTGCTAAATATCCACCCCAATAACCCCAAGAATGACGTACTAGCTCCCAACAAAAACAAAATGGATATGGCAAACTCACCACTATGTCTCGGATCACTTTTGTTGATAAAAATACCCCTTGTGCTGTATATCAAGAGAACCCAGTAAACAAAGGACGATTGCAAGATGCACATTAGTTTCAAATCCAAGTGTTGGCTAACCAATCTAGAAAATAGGTAAAAGGCAATCAATGATATTGAAGCAATGGTTGTCACCAACAAAAATGGGTGCGAGGTTGGCAAAAGTGGGTTCAGAGCTTCAAATGTCCGTGAAACTACCAACGAAACTATTATCCACGCTATCACTGTAGAAATGGGGAGATACAAGAAGACTGAGGTTGAAGCGTGCCACTTCTTGTACTTTAGCGTTGTGAAAACAAGGGCACCGTTAATGACTGCAAATATGACAATTAAAGCCGTGTTTATAGCAGCCAACTTGGATGATGGCATTGAGTAGAAGTTGTTTAGTACCGAAGTGTAAATTGCAGCTTCGTCGTCACCAGTATCGTCAATCTCGTTCTCAGCTATAAAATTGGTGAGATCAATTGCATTGGACGCCATGTGCCACAACGACTTCAAATTGACATTCTTGATATTGTCCTCTTCTGTATGATACAAATCTCGTGGTTTGAAAAATGCCAAATCAAGACCTCGAAGACCGGCTTCACGATATACTTTGTAATCCGTCTCGCTGTGGATCAAGGAGTTTGCAAATCCCTGTTGAAAGATTGAGGATGCATAAGGGAACCTGACTTTCTTGAAATACTTTACTATTCCATAATCAGTGCCTCTAAATAGGATCGCTTTACCGCCAGCGCCAGTCCCTTCCAAGTTTAAGAAATATCTCACTTTTTTAAACCAGGGATGATTCACAAAGGCAGTAGCACCGTATAAACCAAACTCTTCATGGTTATTAAAGTTGAAAATAATTGTGCGTTTGGGTTGCTTTTGAGTTGCATAATACCGCAAAACAGCAAGCAAGCTTGCAACCCCCATACCATCGTCGGTGACTCCAAAGCTGGTGGGGACAGAATCAAAGTGAGCACTTAGAAGGAATGCCGGCAACAGATGATCCGATCCATCTATTTTCACCAATAGATTGTTTGACTCATAGTAAGCCACAGATTTGAAGCTGGTGTTGTACAAGAATTTGTTTGTGCCATTCAAATCATTATCAAAAATAATATGTTTATTGCCATGAACAATCTGCTGAATTTTTGACTCCAAGTACTGGTGAACTGCATCATTTCCTCTTGATGCGTAAGGATGTTGGCTTTGCGCAATAGTCTGCAAGTCAATCCAGGACTCATTGAGTAACTTCTGCTCCAGCTTGTCACTCGGTAAATCAATCGAGAATTCCAAGTTATTATCAACAAAGGAAAGGGCCACTCCCAACACGAGAGTGATAATGACAAACAAGGAAAGTGAGGTTTTTCTATACCGAAATAAAGCATTGAAGAAACGATAGATGGCATTTGGTCTGTTTGAGGACGTTCTCAATGGATGGTCCTCGCTCCTCCTCTCCCCCAGTACAGATGAGGACAGTTCAGCTTCAGTCATTGCTAGTTGAACAAGTGAAAGTAACTTTAACAAGGATGTGTATTATCGCAATTGAGCCTTTGTTGACACACAAATTGACCAGCAAATCTTTTGGTTTTCTCCCTCGGATTAAATCTTGTTTGATTACGTAAGCGAAATAAACCATTGACCAGCCACATATTGAAAACCGTTGTTACATTCCTCAATTCTGCAGTTGACCACTTTCTCGTTACAAGCTATAAAATATAATGGAGAGAAGAGAGCTTGTAAGTTTCTCTTAATCCAAAGCTCAACACTGAGGCGTCAACATAGTGTCTTCAAAAGAGACACCCTTTGAGCTAGCAACTCATAAAGACGGGTAGAATGTACAGACAATCCTCTCGTCTGTTTTTTTTCATTTTGGGCTTGCTGTCTTCTTACGATATGGCATTTAGCTTTGATCCGTTTCTTCATCTGGTTAAAGGAGAGTTTCCTTGATTCTACTCCTGCACGGTATTAATGTGCATTGTTTTTATCTACCGATTTTGTTGCAAAAATTATTTCATCTCTCTTCAAATGTCTATCGTTACTTTATTTCAACATTAATCAGGACATTATGGAGTAAATGACTCATATTAACTGACACGTGATGAAACAAGTCAAGTCTCACTGTTGTACACAACAGTGATTCATTGGATAAGATAATCCTTTGCACTAGGAACATAAAGAGGGTTTTGAAAATTTACGTCAACACCTCTTTCCATCTCCACAAAAAGGAAATGCCGAAATTCTAGAACAAAAATAAAAGAAAAAAAAGGAAGAAAAGAAGTTTAAGCTTAAAGAAGAGAAAAATTCAAGTGAAAAAAAAGGACTATACCGAAAGCATCTCTAATCCAACAGTTCACCACTACATAAAAGACAAAGTGATGACAAAATTTGCTCCTTTGAAAAATGACTTGATTTTAAGAGCAGCGAAAGGAGAAAAGGTGGAAAGACCTCCAGTCTGGATTATGAGACAGGCGGGTAGATATTTACCTGAGTATCATGAAGTGAAAGGAGATAAAGACTTTTTCCAAGCTTGTCAAGATGCCGAAACCGCTTCTGCGATCACAATCCAGCCCGTGGACCACTTTGATGGATTGATTGATGCAGCAATCATATTTAGCGATATATTGGTCATCCCTCAAGCAATGGGGTTTGAAATCAATATGGTGGAAGGAAAGGGTCCGGTGTTTGCAGACCCATTGAGACACCCCGAGGACTTGTCAAGAATTGATCTTAACCCAGATGTGAAGTTGAAATTGGATTGGGCGTACAAGGCTATCAATCTCACTAGAGTCAAGTTGAATGGAAGAGTCCCTCTTTTAGGATTTGTGGGAGCACCTTGGACACTATTGGTATATATGACTGAAGGACAAGGATCAAAGATGTTTAGATTTGCAAAGCAGTGGATTTATGAGTTCCCTGAGGCGTCACACAAATTATTGCAAGCAACTTGCAATGCTTGTATTGAGTTTTTGGCGCAACAAGTTGTCGCAGGAGCCCAGATGTTGCAGATATTCGAGTCGTGGGCAGGAGAGTTGGGACCCGATGATTTCAATACCTTCTCATTACCATATTTGAAGGAAATAGCTACAAAATTACCTTTGAGGTTGAAGGAGTTGGGTGTGGAGGAAAAAATACCGTTGACAGTTTTTGCAAAAGGTGCATGGTACGCCTTGGATGATTTGTGTGATTCCGGATACGACTGTGTGTCTCTTGACTGGTTGTTTGATCCACAAACTGCTCGTAAGATAGCGGGTGACAGAAGGATAACTTTGCAAGGTAACTTGGACCCTGGTGTCATGTACGGTTCGGACGAGTTGATCGAGGAAAAAGTTAAACAAATGATTACAGGGTTTGGAGTCCAAAACTACATCATAAATTTCGGGCACGGAACACATCCATTCATGAAGCCCGAAAAGATTGGTCATTTTTTGAAACAATGCCACAAGTATGGCTCTAAATAGGGCACAGCACAATAAGTAGTTAACCCTGGTTTTGTTTTTACTTTACCAAAATTGCGTGCATAGAAAACGACACAGCTAGACTAGTTGTAGGACAACACTCTACCCCACAGCAGCCTAAAGCTCTGTAAATGAATGAGAATAGAATGTGTGCTATACCAGCTGCGGTTAAGGACTCCTAGACTTGCTAGCATTTAAGGATTTATCACATTGCATTTGTCCAATTGCCTTCAGGGCATTGAGAAGTCTTTTTGGTTGTGTGCAGCTAACATCTAATAACTTATCCTTGGTGAGGAATACAATTAGAATTTTGGTTCAAGAAGACTTGACCTATCCAGCTAAAGGAAGTAGTGAACATAGTAATCATTACCTTGTATTTTTCATGCAGGTTACTTTGAAGTTGGTGCTTGATGTCATTCAACCGATACGCACTTATTACTCTTACACTATGTCAGAAAATACATTTGGTGGAGACTGCACTTGATTCTGTAAACATAGATCATTCTGATTACTCAAGAGGTAAGCAAGTGTACTACTGGTGTCTCTCATTAAATTTTTCTTGTTGCTGTTGCTGTTGCTGTTGCTGTTGCTGTTGCTGTTGCTGTTGCTGTTGTTGTTGTTGTTTTCAACAGTCGTGTATTTAGCTCAGATGTGTAACCTCCAAGCGACAATGACAAACATAAAGTTCGTCGCCAGTGTGCTTAAAGACAAAATACACTCAAATGACACAGGAACATACGAAAGAGACCTATGTCTATGATTTGGATGACGGATTTCTAGATTCATTGAAATTGCTCTCCTTTAGTTTGGACACCTTTGAAAATGTGGAAACCCCCAGTGCACCAATATCGCCACATCCCCAAGTAAGGAAGGATTACAACTATTACAAATCGGATTTACATCGCTATAACTTGAAAAGAGTGCAAAACAACTTACCACCCGTCAATGAAGATGAGTTCGAAAACTTGATTGAGACTCAGTCGATTGAAAGCATATCGGGGTCAGATTCTGAAGATGAGTTTGATCTGGAAGATGACAATTCCGAGCAAGGCCAAAAAGTTGACAGTTTGATCAAAAAGTTGGAGTCGGCGACTATAGTAGGTGACTCGCAGTCATCCTCCCATCTCAACACCAAGAGTCCTTTCATTCTTTTTGGCTCAGATTCTGTGCCCTCAGAGAGAGCAGTGGGAATATACAAGGCGTTGTTTCCGGAATTTGCACTTGACGATCCTTTGGGATTTCTCAAGACCGAAAAGGACAAAACCGATTCAAAATCGGCAATTCTCATGATTGGGGGAGGGCATTTCGCGGGAGCCATAATCAGCCACAAAAGAAATGACTTGAAGTCCTTCAATAATAAAGACAGCGTTAAAATGCAGTTAGTTAACGTCCTTGCTTCAAAAACGTTCCACAGATATACCACTAGACGCAAGCAAGGTGGCGCTCAAGGTGCCAGCGACAATTCTCGTGGAAAAGCGATTTCTGCTGGTTCTAGTATAAGACGCTATAACGAGAAGGCATTAGCTCAAGAAGTGAGAGATCTTCTTGCTCAATGGAGTGGTTACTTGCAGGATTGCACTGCAATCTACGTTCGAGCAAACGGCCCAACGAACAAGAAAGTCTTGATGGGATATGAAGGCTCGCCTTTGGATGCAACGGATAAGAGAATTAAAAGGCTTCCGTTTTCAACACAAAGGGCCAGCTTATCCGAAGTAAAGAGGAGCTGGGTTGAGCTTTCTCATTACAAAGTAGTGGAGTTACCCAAGACTGAAATTGTTAGTGATAAAGGTGTGGCAGAAAGTGGACAAGAGAGAGCAGCTAACTCAACTGTAAAGAGAAAGGGAAGGGAATCAGAGGATAAACAGGACGAAGAGATCATCACCATTTTGAGAAAACAAAAAGCGCCCAAATTACTAAAATGGGTGAAGGATAATCAGATTGATGTCGACACCTATCGTATCGCACCAGGCCTGTATGCTCAATCAACAACATTGCTTCATTACGCGTCCTCCAATGGACTTGCTCACATGATTCAGATCTTGTTGGTTAATTTAAAGGCTTCTCCTCAGGTCCAAAATACCAATGGACGATACCCCGCTGAAGTTGCTAACAAGGACACCAAAAGAGCATTCCAGATTGCCAGGAACAAGTTGGGGGAATCTTATTGTGATTGGGACAAAGCAAAAGTGCCTCCGCCAAAGTCTAAAGAGGAGTTTGATGAAGAAGATCGTGCAAAGGTGGAAAGTGAAAGGCTTATGAAGCAGAAACTCCTCGAAGCAGAGGCGTCTAAGGAAACGGCAAAGGGTTCAAGTATCAAATCGTTCAAGAATGATCTTGCAGGCTTGAGTGAGGAACAAAGATTGAAATTTATGAGAGAGCAAAGAGCGAGGGCAGCGGAGGCTAGATTGAAGAAATAATTTGTTCGTTTCGATGCAGTTCGTCAAATGTCGACTGTTGCTCGTGTTGGTTTCTCTTGTCTCATATTTACCCATCAAATACCTGATATGATTCATTTATCAATCGCAAGAGGAGGAAAAGTGGTTGTTCTGATTATACCCCGCAATACATAGACTTGACCTTTACATAGGGAATCCAGCCACCCCCTGTTGGCAACAGTTTACAGAGTCCAAAGATAACTTTTCTTGAACCTGGTTGTCAACAATCGGAACGGCTGAAACTATATAATTCACTACCATGGGTTTTTTGGGATGGAGTGATCATAGATCAAAATCCCAAAGCGAAATCAGTAGTCTGTAGTCAATTGACACGTCCATCGAATCTCTTTAATAATCAAAATAGATTTCCATTTTACCTAATACAAGCTTACGAGCCCTCAATCACTTCGATGTACTGATGCAAGCGACCACATACGACAAAAAATAGCATACCTTCAACGGCAGTCACGCCATTTCAAATCCAGATCATGCAAGGGAACTGAAGGAGGTACAAGAGGAGTCTATATAGAGCACGAAGTTGGCCAATTTGGGACAAGACCCCCCAAAAAGATTTCTGCCGTGCTTCACTGTCATCGGGAAAAGTACCAAATTTTCTTGGCCGCTACACGCCTGGGACCTTGGCGACTGTGTTCATCTGACCCGTGTGATTGTGAATCCGTAACCTGATTTGAAATCCGAGTGAGTTTGATATGCAGCACATTTTTGGTGCCAGAACACGAGGAGGAGGACACCGGTGTCCCTGGCAGGCCATGTGACGACAACAGCATCAGCAACAGCAACAGCAACAGGAACAGCAACAGGAATAGCAACAGGAATAGCAACAGGAGCAGCAAGAAGACTGGAATGGACCGTATATGGCTGTGTTGGAGTCCCTACTGCAGAAGGACAAATTTTAGCTGCGAAAAAGCAGGAGTCAAGAAGAACGTACCATCCTCTGTGCTAAAATGTGCGTGGATCTTTTTTGTCATAACAAANTAGAGAGATAAAGAGAGAGTGTAGGTGCAAAGGATCAGAGAATGATAAAAAAACGTTGGTTGAAACCACCTTTTGAACGACTCTCTAAAAAATTTCGTTCTTACGCAAGAGAAGTAGTGAGTTTAGTGCATTAGGAACTAAGTTAGTGTGTCCGAGACAAGACTATTAAATCCGAAGAATAAAACTTCTTTAAGTCTTTAGTTCCTGAACTTATTGCGAAACAAGTTTTTTGTAATGTCAGAGCTGTCTTTTGAAAAATTTGCGTGAATTTTTAAGCAAAAAAACTTAGAGAAGGGTGGCTCATGTAATGGAAAAGGAGGAACCACACATAATATCCTTTGATGATGGACCGAATGTTACATAAAGAGTGTTGCCACCGACACGCTCAGTACAATGTGAGCTAATAGCAAAAAGAATAAAAAGAAAGAAAAGAAATGAAGGGGGATGATGATGTGGTGGTGGAGGAGGAAATGGCCGAAAATCTAATGTGTTTTCCCAATTAGGAAAGTGATGAAATTTTAGAACACGTGCATTACATATACATTACATATACATTACATATNTACATTGTATATACATTGAATACATACATTTTACTTAGCCACAATATTATGTACATATATATAGAATCAGGAAATAGAGATAATGACATAGCAGAAGTGAGTTTGCTTTGGATTGGATGTAGATATACTATCTATCAAACAGTTTGGGTCATAGCAGTTGTTAGTAGAAGTAGCGACTATCTATGTTTGCTTGTGAGACATTTGTTGTTATTGTATACTACTAACTACAGACTATCTACCCACTATTAACTGTACTCTGTACTCTGTATATTTATATAATCTGTATCTCCTTTTTTTTATCTGTTTTCCTTTTTTGCTTTTTTTTGCTTTTTTGCTTTTTGCAAACACGACTCCTATAATTGATATACAACACATATACACATATATATACACACACATATACACACACACAACACGCTGCCACCCCAATAACACTATCCACCATACCCCACTGGCATAAGCAAAGCACAAGATCACTATTACTACCACTACTACTACTACCACTACTACTACTACCACTACTACTACTACTACTACGACTACAGTAATACAAACAGAGATCCACACTTTTCTTCCCCACCTCAATCTCACTTTGCCCCACCCACTCCCTATTTCAGTCCCCCCTTTTTTTTTATTCAAATTTTCAACTTCTTCTACTTCAGTTGTTTGGTAGCTTACTCAATTACTTACTTGCTTTGATTGTTTGATTGCTTGATTGCTTGATTGCTTGATTGCTTAATTGCTTGATTACCCACTACTTATAACGCTATATGCTTGGAACAGAGGTGATTGATTTCCATAATCATTTACCACCTTATCGGTCTTTGCTCAACCCCAATGCTAGGTATGACTATCGTACCCATACATTGATTCCATTGACTCAAAATGACTTAAACTTTTTACAATCATTTTTCAGAAGTGGTGGTGGGGGTAGACCAACCCCAACTTTTTGGCAGTCACGCTCTTCGAATGGTGGAAGTGGTAATAGAAGTGGTAACAACAATAACAGAATGCCCACTAGAAGTCGAAATACAGTTGCACCTGCGTCTGCATCAAACGACCAAGATTCTTTTATAGTTGTTGGTCCTCACCCATCAACGTCCACTTCACAAGTCAACAATAGCGAATTATCCGAATCGTATCTCGAGAACTCAATTGCATTGACAGATCGTGCCGGTTCGCAGTTTCTGCCACCTCCTTCTGCATCGTCGACATCGTCGACATCGTCAAACTTATCCATAACTTCAAGTCTGTACTTGCCACACGCAAAACATCACAACAATCAAGATGGGTCAACATCATCGCCTTTCAGGATGAAATACAGGTCATTACTCAATGACGTTGGAAGGAGCATTTCAATGAAATTAAGTAGCAATAACTTACTTGGTAATTCAAGCGAGAGCCACCACAACAATAGTGACAACAACAACAACAACAACAACAACAACAACAACAACAACAACAACAACGCCAGTGGTACTGGCTTCATTTCTTCGAGATCAAGTACCTTACTTTCCTCCACTGTCAGGAAGAGATCTCAGCCAGTCATCTCCAACATTAACCAAATGCCAGAAGAAATATTGGATTACATCTTTTACCTAGTCAATGACAAATCCTCGTATTCCAATTGTCTCCACACTTGCAAGCTTTTTTATCACATGTCAAAGCCTTACTTTTATGAAAACTTGACGTTTACTTCTACCTACCGGTTTGCCCAATTTGTATCGTATCTTCGATTAAATGCTAGTGTGGGCCGCTATGTGAAAACAATTGATTTGTCTGGTATCAAACCTGGGTTCGATGAGGAAACAGAAGAAGATAACGATCAAGAGGAAGAGGTGGCGGAGGTTGTAAATGAAGATGGTGGGGCTATGCCCATTAGCAGTCGAGAGTTGTCGCAGCTTTCCAAAAAGAAAGCTTTAGCCGGATGGAGGGACTGGAAGTTTAAGAATAACCCATTGTACACCGTCCACCCTTATCCAAGCGGACATTTGACTAAAATTGCGTCAAACTCCCAATTCCTGTTATCATCGAATAGGTCAAATTCTTCACAAAAGTCGTCGTCATCGAAAAGATTTACCAAACCGTTCAAGTATTTCAAAACAAGAAAGAGAAGCAGATCATTTAGTGGCAATATCAACTCACGCAAGTCGCCCAAGTTGGAAACATTGAATTTGAATAACAATCGCCAGGACGGAAGCACTTCCATGACCGCAAATCCTCACCCGCTAATCAACAAGTTCTTAATCAACTACTCAACATCAAAAGATGTTCCCATAGGTTATGTGTTGCACTTGATTAATTTATGTCCAAATGTCAGGTGTTTGAATTTAGGAGAATTGTCATTATCCACAGATTATGAAATTCTGAGATCTTCAATGTGCAAGTATCAAACATTTGACTTGATGAACAACTACCCAAAAGACTTGCTTCATAGAATTGACAATATCATGAGGAGTGACGATTCCGGTTACTTGTCATCGCTTGAAGCTTCGTTGTTACATAACCTTCACTCTGAGAATAGATTTTCATTGAATTTGTTCAAATCAAGTCAAGCAAATGCTTCCACCGCTTCGTCTGTGTATTCTGTCAGCACTTTCTCCAAACCAATTCGCAAATACAATAGCTTGTTGCCGCCACTCCCTCCAACTTTGGCCGATATATCTTATGTGAAAAAGGGCGATCGCAAAGTTTACCTTTCCGATTTGAATTTGAAGTCTATAAATAACGCGTATTTGAGGAAAATCGACGAAAAAGAGGTCTTGCTGGCCATCTCGAAAGTGCACGGCAGACAAGTGCACTCATCAAAATTACAACAAATGGCCGATCCGACAGTAGAGGATATTGCAAGGAATTTATGCTACATCAACTTATCTTCCATGATTTGGTTGAATCGCGATATAACTGAAAAGTTTTTGAAGAAGTTGTTGGTGAAAAGATCGTTCGAATTGGTTGCATATGGATACTATGATGGAGCAGATGATGCTTTCGACAATGACAGCAATATCGACTTCGATTCTGATTTGGAGTCGTTTGATTACCAACGCAATCCGATGATGTATAAGCAGGACTTGGTAATCGACCTCTCAAACTCAGGTATGTACAAGAATTTACCTTGGGCCAAGAGAATTGATTTGAATACTACAGAAGGATGTAAATTGGTCGATAAAATTATTCGCAATGAATTGCTATCACCACAAGAGGAGGCAATGAGAAGAGAAAGATTGAGAAGAGGTCGGATTGGAGAAAATTATCTAGCTTAGGTGATAGCTAACGGCTATTCCACCCCACGTAGCATCTGTTTTTAATAATATAAGTTCAATTTATGCCTTTGCAACAACCTCTGCCGACTTGTAAAACAAGTTTGCGCGGCAATAACAAAAAAACAAAGATGTTCCAGACATCAGGTCATCACAATTTCATGGATCAGCCTGGCCTAGCTGTGTCACTAGCGGCGACCTCGAATCGCAATGGTTTTAAAGCTGGTTTTCCAACAACATTGGACTTCTCCAAAGGATGGAAATTAGGTTCAATCTAGATAAACCAAATACATCCATTGAAATCTGCATTGAGCGCTAGTGTTAATGCTAATGACTATTGAAACGACTAAAACGGACTATTTGATAGATCATGTTTTGTAGAAGAAGAAGAAGAAGAAGAAGAAGAAGAAGAGAAGGAGGGAAAGAGAAGGATTTTTTTTGGCATAAAATTTTTTTTTTTCTAGACAAACCTCCCCGTATTAATTGAGCAACAGGACACTACTTTAGTACAGAAGAAAAAAAATCGTAACTGAACAAGAAGGTACACACGTGTTGAAGCTTGTGGGATTCCTCCTCTGAAGTAGCTCATTGATCCTACCACATCTACTACCGCGCACTCTACACTGCATCTATCATGTCAGACTTATCGGCACAACTATCCGCATTCAAAAACAAGCTAAAGAGCGGACCGTCTGTAGCTGTGGCTAGAAAAGCAGTAATCTCCAAACCCACTTCGCCATTACCCTCAACTCAGTCAAATCCATCAAGCACTCCATCAAAACGACCAAACCCATCGGAGCCCACAGTTGATGCATACAAAAGGTACAAGCCAGATGCAACGGACCTCAGTGGCTCTCATTTATCGACACAACTACACTTGGCAGTTGAGTATATCAAGGAACAGGACCACCCAATCAGTATAGGTAAACTTCAGCAAACGTTATCGTTTGATGTCGAACACACACTACTACCTCTACTTAAGGAGATTGATAGGGTCAAGTATGATGAAACTAACAGGACGTTGGAGTATGTTTCGCTACACAATATCAAAACTGCCGATGACTTGTTGGAGTTTTTGAGGAAACAAACTACATTCAAAGGCGTTTCAGTAAAAGAGTTGAAGGATGGATGGGCTGGATGCTACCTGGCTATCGACGAGTTGGAAGCAGAAGATAAGATTTTAGTTTTGAGAAATAAAAAGGAGAATGCACCAAGACTCGTGTGGGCAAACGCGGGTGGCAAAGTCGGGGCCATAAGTGATGAATTCAAAAAGATGTGGGTTGATGTCAAACTTCCTGAACCAGATGTATTGTACCAATCATTGATAAATCAGGGCTTGAAGCCAACCGGAGCAGACCCAAGCTTGGTTAATAAAATGCCGCAACAGCAAGAAAAGAAACAAAAGAAAGCTCGCAGGGGAAAGATTACTAATACCCACATGAAGGGAATATTGAAGGATTATAGTCAGTTGGTCTAGTTCTGCAAGTGTGCTCCGTTACAAGGAGTAACTGGTTTGGAGGTGCTGTCTGCACATCTTTCGGTTGGCCATTGCTGTGGGTAATATACGTACACAACTACTGGCAAAAAAGGTACCGGTATAGAAATCACTCTCCGAGATGCTTTAAAACTCCTCACTCTTTCGAGAAACTCTTTCGGCCTACATCTCTGTTTGAAATGATTATTCGTATCGAGTCGTGCATAAGCACAAAAATCGGATTTTTTTTTTCTCTCTCTTTTTTTTTTTTTCCCTTTTTCTTCTTCTCTTTCGAGAATCCTGGGAGACAGTCAGCAAAACACATCAGGAGTAGTCTCAGTTCTCAATCAATCACTCAGGCAAATATCAAGATGTCAAGTATGTCAAGTGCAGGGTCGATCGTTTATCTTTTTTTTTTTTTTCATTTTTGGCCATTAACGTCTTCTATACTAACGATTCTCCATTTAGCTGATTTCAATGCTGTAGCAACTGAATTTTGCAATTTCTACTACAACCAATTCGACAGCGATAGAACTCAATTGGGAAACCTATACAGACCGGAGTCAATGTTAACTTTTGAGACTTCTCAATTACAGGGTGCAAGGGATATTGTTGAGAAATTGTCTTCTTTACCTTTCCAAAAAGTTGCACATAGGGTTTCGACTTTGGACGCTCAACCTGCATCTCCAAATGGTGATATCTTGGTCATGGTTACAGGAGAATTGTTGATAGATGAAGAGCAAAATGCGCAACGTTATTCTCAAGTGTTTCATTTGATTCCAGATGGTGGATCATACTATGTCTTCAATGACATCTTTAGGTTGAACTACTCCTAAATCTAACTATGGAGTCATTGAGCTGACTCGGAGCTAATGCTTAGGATCAAGTAGAGAATCAATCAATGTGCGTCCTTTAAATTCTTTGTAGTGCAGCTACGATATTCATTTTTGAAGTTGTTAGGGCAAACCATGTAAGTATTTATCGGCTCAAGGAGATCTTTTCAGTAGGTTGACCTCTTTCGAGAGGTATTAGAATTAATCGCCGTTGTTCTCGGTAGAGTGTTCGGTGTCGCTGTAGTGTTTGGGTTTCTTGTCTCACAAACTATCCCCATCTACCAATTGTGTCTCTCACTCGCTGTCGTGTAAAATGTAACGACGAAATCCGCGAATTCAGAAAGTGTGCGTACATTCTCCTCAAATTAACAAATATTTACCATCCCCACCCCCACCCCCAACAAAGGAAGCAACAACATGAGTGAAAACAAATCCAGGGACGAGCTTGATACGTCTGTTGGTGCTCATAGGACGTCGAACGTCAGTCCACAAGGCATTCCAGTCGTTCCTCCACGGCCAAAATCAAAAAATCGTACTAAGTCCACCACGTCACTAGCGTCAAATTCCTCCAACAAGATTTCAGAGCGAGAAATTGAGCCTGCCACCAGGGATGAGATTGAAGATAATTGTAAGAATGAGGAACCAGAATTGGAATTATTGGATGCTTATGGTGTACAACCAGAGGATCACAAAGAGGAAGAAGCGGAGGCTGACCCTGTCAAAAGGAGCTCCGATATATCACATCAATCTGTTCCTTCTGGTGGGTCCTCAAATGACAATCAAGTGGAAGATATTCCTATGAATTACCAAACAAATGACCAGGAGGCTATTGATGGTGACAAAACACCTGGCAATTCCAACACTAGAGCGTCCTTCAAGGAGGACATAGATGAAACGAATGAAAGCGAGAATGAGGCTTCAAGCTTTAATGATGACATGGAGACTGTGTTGCAAGAAAGCCACGAGTCCAACGACGATGTCTCCAACAACTCGGACGATGCGGGGTCAATTTTGCAGGAAACACCCCTCGTGCAGACGCAGGAAGTCTCTGCCGGACTTTCAGAAAGCCTCGAGACAAATGAAGTTGATAAGGGGGTTGATTCAAGTGAAATTAAACAGCTGATCGAAGTTAATGATACCCCCAAAGAAGGTGGTGCCGATGAACGTGCTACAAATTTTGACAACGAAACCCCTATAACTACAGTCAAGTCACTTGAGCAGACCAAGGAGGCTTCAAATCAAGACAATGAGAAGTTGGCTATAGCCGTTGGCGCAACTCCAGTGATACCGGCGCGTCCAGTTCGCAAACCAAAGACAGTCCGCCCTTCCCTAAGCTCGGAGGAAGCGAGAAAATCGTCACCACCCAGTGGTGACGATACGACGCAAAAAGTTGAGTCAAATAATAGTGCTGAGACCCTACCTCCAACCGAAACGGCGGCTCAAGAAGCGACTGAAAGTTTGTTAAGTGATGTCGTCGAACCGAAAGCGGAAAAGTCGCCAAATGAAGACCTAGTTCCCAAAATTCCAGCAAGACCAAGACCAAACAGGAAACAATCTGAATCAAAAGTCACTCCCAAAGCCCCCCCTCCAAAGCCAAAGAAGTTGTCAAGTAAAATTGAAGCATTCCAACAACAACTATTCAACTCTTCTTCTTCTTCGAATCATGGACCGGCTCCAAAGCATGCATCTGGATGTGAAAGTAACGATGAAGTCGACAGTGCTCCAAAACAGTCATCTGTGCACAGGAGAGTTTTTGAATCAAATGGAATACCACTACCCGGTATGTTTAACCCTGCACTTCGTCCAGTGGTGACAGAGTCAAGTGCTAAAGAGGAACTGCCCAAAGAATCCAAGGCAACAAAAAGAGTGCGAGGTCCAAAGGGCAAAAGGTTGCCTCAAGCTGTTGCCAATGCAAATGTTGTTTCAGAGAAAAGCAGAACTTTAGAAAAGGGAAACTTGTGGTCATTCACGTTTGAAAAGGTGCATGGCGGAGACGGATCTCCAGAAATAGGTACTGAGGTTCTTATGCGCGACAAAGTTTTCGAGAATAACGACAAACTTGCTGAAGTGTCAGCATCTACTGGCCTGCCAGCACAAATAATTGAGGGTTCAGCCGAGAATAATCTGCTGGTGAGCTTGATATCAGAGAACAATGGTGCTCACACGGCTCAAGATATATACCCAGATTCAGATCAACAAACGAACTTTTCAGAGGCGGGAGAAAGTAACGAGGCGTGACACCTCTTAGTATTGGTACATGCTCTAAATAGCACCTACTTAGATGAAAACCTGGGTTTATAATTGTAAACCTGATCTTTTGTATCGTTTTCCTTTTCTTTCTTATTCAAGAGCTTCATTTTGAGTTTGTTGACAGCAGCCTGAATTTCTTCTGCGCTGACTCCTTTCGATTCCAAGTCCTCTTCCAATTCAGTACAAGCTACCTGCACCTTCCGCAATTCGTTGTGTTTTTCAATACTTGAGCGAGCATTTTTGGTTGATTCTTCGTTCTTTGCAATCCTTTTTCTCAACAACTCATCTTGTATTTGTTGTTGTCTGGAGGCGTAGAATAATTTGCTTGAACCCTTTTTCGCAATGATGTTTTTCTCAATGTGACCAGATCGACCAGAACCTTTGTTTGAACTCATAGCTTCACAGCGATGTGTATTTTGACATCACTCCTTGCAACGCTGCCTCAGTAGACGATGAAATGACCTCTTTACAAGTGTTATTGATGTACAAGGAGAACAAAGAGAGCAAAGGAATAAAAAAATATATAAAAAAAAAAAAAAAAAGGAAAACAAAGATTCGTTTCCCAACAATACGAGCATTAGGAAAGACGTATCTAAGATCTCGAGCTTTGTTGTCAAAATGAGAAGCAAGATTCTACAGAAACTATCAAGGCACAGAATAAAAGCAATAGCACTGTTACTCATTATTGGGTTTTTGTCTTATTCCTTGCTTGGATCATTAAGAAACTACGATGGGCTTAGGAACACAGAGGATCCTATCTCGATCACCTCAATGAAACAATCGTATGATGAGAAGCAACAATCTCTGACCAAAGCAGCTCAGGAAGTTGGTAATAAGGGCCAAGAGAGCCCAGTACAGTCATCCTTGAGTAGTGCCCATAAATTTTGGAAAGAAATCTTTACCATTTTTGATGAGAACAAGATGAATCTTCAAGACCGGCTTGGAACTCTCATAGAGTACACCGATAAGTCGAAGCATTTGGACGGGCCAAATACCAAAGAAGTGTTGCTCTCACGGGCAACCATGCTGGAAGAGGTTGTTTCTGAGCTTAAAAAGAGACACAAGCTGGTGGTTCAGCAATTGCCTAGTCATATTGCAGAAGCTACGTACAATAAAGGGACAACGGGTGTTGTCTTCATTGGTGGTGCAAAGTTTTCGTGGCTCACGTATTTGGCTATCCTCGCTTTGCGAGAAACAGGAACAAAACTCCCTGTCGAGGTTATCATGCCCAAGAAGCTGGACTATACGAAAGAGCAAGATTTTTGCGACATATTGTTACCAGAACTTGGAGCTAGATGTGTTATTGTTCCCGACACTATTGGCGAGTCGGCATTAAATGGAAGAAGTCTTTTCGCATACCAATTCAAATCCATTGCGTTAGCCATATCATCTTTCCAGCATATCCTTCTACTTGATTCCGACAACATTATCGTTTCAAATCCTGACCACGTATTCAGGAGCGAACTTTACAAAAAATATGGTATGATCACCTGGCCCGATTATTGGAAAAGGAGTATATACCCAAAGTACTATGACATTGCCGGGATACAAGTTAATGAACACAAAAGAGCACGACATGATCGATTCCCCTTATTTGAGCCGCTCAGCGCAAAAACAGCTTTAGATGTCAGTCCCGAAGACAGGGTGCCCTATCATGATTTAGAGGGTGCCGTACCCGATTTGTCGACGGAATCGGGTCAACTCATTATAAACAAGGCAACGCACGGTAAAACAATTTTATTATCATTGTATTACAACATTTATGGTCCTGATGTGTTTTACAAGTTGTTTTCATTGGGTGAACAAGGAGAAGGTGACAAGGATACTTTTGTCACTGCTGCCATTGTGTGTAAGGAGCCTCATTACCTGGTAAAATCCTTTATTTTATCACCAGGATATTTCGATAACGACAATAAGTTTAATGGTGTGGCAATGGCCCAAAAAAACCCACTATACGATTACGAATTGTTCAATGAGCAGGTTGTCAACTACTTCACCAAGAGTGGCGAAACCTTGACCGTGGCAGACCAAATTGGTCATTTAGATTCCCTAATTAAAAATGAGTTCGACAGTTACAATAAAGTGCCGATTTTTGCCATTCACTGCAATCATCCAAAAATAGATCCTGTGCTTTACATGCAGCGCGACGACTTGTACGACTCCAAGGAGAAAAAGTTGAAATACAGACTTTACAATGGTATGAAGTACGACAAATTGGTAGTAAGCTCATCAAATGACAAATCGGTAAAGACTGATTTCGAGTACGAGCAGTGGGTTCATATACGAGAGGCGCTTTGCATAAAGAAACTAAAATTCGAACACTTCAAGGACTTAAATGCAGATGACCTATGCGAATTTGTCAATAATCAAGTTAAATGGTTGACGCCTTCAGCGGAGGGTACATAATAAGTAGTAAATGCAAGCTAACAACGACATCGTGTTTGAATTGGTGCATTGTAAGCTCTCGATTCCTCTGGATTTGAATGCTTGGGTTTTGCGAGCTACAGTGGCTGGTGCTTGGTGCAGGGTGCTTGTAGTGTGAGTGAAATAACTCATTCAACGACAACGTTCTTGCGATTCCATTCACACAAATTGCTCCAAGTCCAGAGCACGGATCTTTACTAGTCAATTGAGGTTTATCTGATAGATTCTCAGTGCTACAAATAAAATCAATACATGTTAGTTGGGAGTCTCTTCAAATCTGAAGTTTGCAATTAACACATAGATACCCGGCTTTTGAATACTCCATTTGAATAATTATAAAAACTACAAATACAATACAATACTCTGAAATGGGCTGTGTGAAAACACTCAAAAACGATCGAATACGCTCAATTTCAATTTAATTCGCAGCACTATGGATGCTCGTACCAGTCCCCAGGGGTGGAGCTCTGTAACCAGAGGTATTTGAGAGGCAAAAGAACGAGCAGGAGATACACAG